TAATAACAATAACAAATAATGATAATAATAACGAATTATAAAAAGTATAAACAAACAAGGCTAAGAAATTCGTTAAAGTTTAAAAAAAAAAAAAAAAGCACGTGGTTTTAGCCGATGTTTAATATTATTCAAGTAAAGAAAGAAAATAATAATAATAATAACAATAATAATAATAATGATAATAATGATAATGATAATAATAAACAGTAGGGAGAATATAAGCGAAACATTTTTTTTTGTATATATATGCATTTTGCTGAGAAAAGTTTTTATTTTATTTTATTTTTATTTTTTATTTATTTATTTATTTTTATTTAAAATAATAAAAAGGAATGAAATCCGCGCGATAGAAAAAGATAGAAGTAGTGGTAATAATAATAATAATGGTAACAGTAATGAAATTACGAATCCGAACGAGACGGGTGTTTTCGATGTGAATCCCGAGCTCGATTCGGTTGCGAGAATATGAGACTTGTTCGCTTGCCCGGGCGAGGCCATATTGAAATTGAAAATTATTAAAAGACCAGGCCGGTGCATGCCGTTGTCGGCACGGAGAAGCATCATTTTATTTTTCGTAGCTCATAAACGCCAGTAGGGGAGTTTTTCCTATCTTTTCGAATACACACCAAGTCAAAGGATCGGAATTTTTTCAATGTTGTAACTATTTTTTTTTTCTTTTTTCATTTTGTTTTTTTTTTTTTTTTACATTGAACGCTAGCGCTGATCTAGCGGCCATTTCGAGAATCGTTTACTTTTTATTATTATTATTATTATTATTACTACTATTATTTTTAATTTAAATTGTATTTAATTATTTATTTTTCTGTTTTTTTTTTTTATATTATTTTATTTTTCTAAACGTCAATTGAGAAGACAAAATTTTCAACGACAGTTTTTAATCATTATTATTATTATTATTACTTTTTTTTTTTTACAAAGCAGAAAGTAATACGTAAAGTAACATTTTTTTCATTCGTTGACGTTAATAAAATTAGTTTTTTTTTCTTTTTTTTTAACAATCGAAAATAAGGTATCGGTAATGTTTAATTTTAATAAGTATTATTATTATTATTATTATTATTATTATTATTATTATTATTATTATTATTATTGAAGTATTAAATTGATTCGTATCAATATATTAAAAAAAATGTGTTACAAAACATATTGAAATAATCCGTTTGATAATTGCAAGTTTTTTTTTTTTTTTTTAACCAAGTAGGGTTAGTATTCTTTTTTTTTCTTTTTATCTATAAATGGCAGAGTCAAAAGAACAAATTCTTTTTTAAGTTTTTAATTTTATTTTCGTGTCAGATTTGAATGAATTTGGGAAATTCGATTTGAAAACAAAACCTTCCCCCCCCCTCCATTTTAATTACCCAATTAATTTTTTTCATATCTTAATATCATATATTTAAAACGTGTAAAACGCTTAACTATTTTTTATTATTATTATTATCATTATGTTTCATTTTATAATAATTATGATTAATATTTTTAAATGCTGGATTACGTTTATACTTTTTTAAAATGGGGGTGGAAACGAACAGTGGGGGAGGGAGGGGGAAGGAGGATAAAGGAAAAGGAACATTCATATTTTATCCTTATTTCAATGCATTATTTGTTAAATTATTATGCCATTTTATTTATCTCTTGTCAGTTGAAATGACGTGTAGTATTTCTTTTTCTCCTTCTTTTTCTACTTCTTCTTAATGCTTCTTTTTATTCATTTTTTAATAAATAGAAAATTTTTAATATTGTTATGACTTATGTCGAGAATGAATAGAAACCTTTTAAAGGGTATTTTTAACCAGTTTAGGTTAAATGGCAAATCCCATGTCATTTAACCATAAAGAAAAACTTGAATTTTTTTTCCTTTTTTTTTCTTTTAGTTTTATTACCTTGGTCACTTAACAATAATAATAATAATAATAATGCAAGAATGGATTTTACTTAATTTTCTATCAAAGTTTATTCGATGAAATTGATTTCATAAATTTATGTGTCCACACACACACATGATTGCTGTTCATTTTTTATTGTTCGAATGTTCAGTTTTTCTTTTATTTTTATTTTTTTTTGGAAATTGATTAACTTTGTTGAATGTGTTATCGATAATTAATAAATTGTCTCAAGGGAATTCTTATAGTTTTTGTCTATTAAGGTTTTTATTAATAATTTTAAGTACTGGACTACCTTTTTTGTTTGTTTCAAAGAACAATCGATAATTGATAACAGTAATGAATGTGTCGAACATGTTGAAGATTTATAATTTGTGATTTTTATCGATTTGTAATTTTTGATTTGACTCTTGTTATTATTCATGTTTGTAAAATCTTTTTTTTCTTTTCGATTAATGCTCATGAATTCTCTTTGTTGCTGACATTATGTGTGTGTTATTCATATTTATTGAAGTTTTTTTCATTAAATATTTTGAAATGTTTTGTACCTGATAATGATGATAATAGTTTATCGATTAAATTTCCATATTTTTAATAATTTTTTTTTTTTTTTTTTTTTTTTTTAATGGGGTGGTATATTGATTCTTTCTTATGAAGTCTGTCTCATGTACATATTTATAATTTTAAATTATCTATTATCATCATCATCATCATTAAAAGTTTTAAATAGCAATTTTATGTTTGTGTGTGTGTGTGTATGTGCTTGAACACATTTTACCTTTTGCTAAATTAACATTTATATGTGTGTTTAATAATAAAAATCACATAATAATCACATTTTTGATTCAAACGTTTGAAAAAAAATTTGACTTTGAACAGTTTTTTTTTTTTTTTTTTTATAGGTTTTTTTCTTCTTTTTATTATTATTATCATTATTATTATTATTTTCTTTTCCTTTTTGTTTCATTGCACCTAATTCATCAGTTTTAGGCAAAAAAACTTAACTTTGATTTTAATTATTAGGGTTTTGAATTTATTATATGAAAACTTTTAGTAACTTGGTTAGTTTATGGGCGTTTAGTTATATGTGTGTGTGTGTTTATGAATGAGATTTTGTAAAAACTTTTTTTTTAAAATAGACTTACTTTGTCAGGGATTTTATTTTTAAAGTAATATATAATAATAATAATAATAATGGTAATCAAAACTCATGGTTTTCATTTTTTTGTTTTTTTTTTTTTGGTGATTTCAGGAATTGACTGGTGCCAACAGTAATGACTCAAACAGTGGGCATGCTGGGCCCGGAACGCCAAACTCTGTTATGAGACCTACTCCCTCACCTACAGGTTCAACTGGATCTAGGTCGATGTCACCAGCAGTTGGTAAGTCTTTTTTATTAATATTATTATTATTAATTTTAGAATGATGACGTAGAAAAAGAAAAAAAAAGAAAACAAAAAACATTAGTGGCTGGTAGGTGAAACGATTCCATTTTCAACGTGATATTTTTCCTTATTCCCATTATTAGTATTATTATTGTGTTTTTTTTTTTTTTTTTTACTTGTTTTGAAATACCGGATGGTGGAATCAGGGTTAAAATAATAGAGAAGAATGAGATGAGGAGAAATGAGGGATGTAAAAGGAAAGAGAGAGAGAGAGAGTGAGAGAGAAAGACAGATTGAAAAAGTGAGAGTGAAAAGGGTATGAGGAAATTGTTTTAATAGTCGGGCATATCTCATTCCCCAATCCAGAATCATCCCTTTCCCCTTATCCCACAATTCTATCAGCTGAGACCTCCTTCTCCTCCTCACCCTCGCTCTTCTTCACTCTTCAAGGTCGCGACCGCTAAAAACAAAATGGTTTGTCAGCTGACTTTATTTTGTTCCATTTTATTTTTCGTTCAATACGTTTTTTTTTTTTTCTTTCTCTCTCTCTCTCTCTCTCTCTCTCTCTCTCTCTCTCTCTCTCTCTCTCTAAATGGGGTCATACGGGGATTTCTTTTTACCGATTTTTCCATTTTATAACTTTTCTTCCGAATCAATCAATTATCATCGATCTAATGTTCTACCTTTCTTTTGCGATTGTTGGAGGGGATGAGGGGAGGGGGAAAGTCGAATGTTACGGGGATTGAAAGGCAGAATGCGAGAGAGAGAGAGAGAGAGAGAGATCATAACAGGATAGCAGAGATAATGATAACGTCTATCGTAAAAGGATTAATGATGGTACATTAAACACAAAATGATTTTGTTATTTTTTTTTTTTAAATATATATATAAAAAAGAAACAATAATAATAATTATAATGATAATAATAATAATGATTTATGCAGCAAAAAAAAAAATAACAATTAAAATCAAAGTGATAACTTGCAAGTTTTCTTTTTTTTTTTCTTAATAATAATAATATTAACTTTAACTTTAATTAAGGTAAACGTTTTTCGAGATGGGTGAGAAAATATTTAAAAAGAAAATACACGCAATGCGTTATAAATATTAATTTATTATTATTATTATCATTAATATTATAGATTTCGAAGTTGAAAATTGTTTTGCGATAATCTCTGATGAAGTTTTGACATTAAGTCAAATTTAGAGTTTGAATGTTTTTTTTTTTTTTTTTAAATGAAAATGCCAATATGGCCTTTCGGTTGTTTTGCACTCTCCATTCAAGTTTTTTTTTTTTTTTTTTTTTCTGAGACTCGAAAGAAGTAACTAAATAATAAATTATTAATTATTAAAAATTTGCAAATTTTTTTTTTTTTGTTCTTGGCGGTCTCATAATGATCGTTGATAAATCAAATGTTTTAATAAAAAAAAAAAATATACATATAAAAAGATTTACCGAGTGATTTATTGGTTTGAAATCGTGAGGAAGTTGATTTAGTCATATGATTTAGTGGGCGTTTAATTATCGTTAATGGGTGCTTCTATTTTTCTTTTTTTTCTTACGGCTAATTTTAATGTTTGGTTCGTTATGTTAAATTGTTTATGTTACGATTAATTTTTTTCCTTTTTTTTTTTTTTTTGCTATCCTTAAAGGTAAAAGAGTTATTTTTCAAATATTATTTTATTATTACTTATTGTTTGTCTCTCCTGCGAGATATTATATTTATTTATTTTTTTTTTTTTTTTTTATTACTCAGGTCAACAGAACATTCCTATGCCGCCGAGACCTTCGAGTGGGCAATCGGATAGCGGTACTTCAGCTAGATTAAGCCATTCGCCGCTAGCTCCGGGCGGACCCTACCCTCAGCCCCCACATGGAGTTCATTCCTACAAGACACCACCTCACGTGCCACCTTATTCGCAACCAGGGCAACAATATCCTCAGGGCAATTACTCTCCAAGGCCGGGACCGCAAGGAATGCAATATGGACCGGGACCGGGGCAGTATCCGCAGCCGCAGCCAAATAACCTCTCCGGAGGTCCGGGCCCTTATCCAGGTCGTCCGGTGACGAATCACGCTCCCCATTCTCAATACTCAGGTTATCAAGCTTGGGGAGGTCCTCAAGCAGCATCTCCGAACATAATGAATCAAAATGCCCCTCCATCTTTGATGCCAGGACCCGGTAATCATTTGCCGCCAAATGGGAAAGGAAATGCTCAACCGCAGCCCACTCCGCCGTCGAATCAATCTCCAGCTAATCCTCCCGGACCCCGACCTCATACTCCTCCTCATTATTTGAAACAACATTTACAACACAAAATGGGATTTACGGGACCTGGACCCGGGATGCCTCCCAGTCCTGGACCCCCTCAAAATTATCCTGCTCCTGGAATGGGGCCTCCCGGCGGAATTCATCATCATTTAGGTTCGCAATCTCCAATGGGACCTCCTCCACCTTCCGGAATGCCTCATCATCCTGGTATGGGTCCGCCCCCTCCGCAAAACATGGGACCTCCCGTTCCACCATCATCAACGCCTAATAGTCATATTGGCCATGAGGGAAATCCAGGACCGCCACCGGCCGGACCGGCAGCAGCGGCAGCTGCCGCAGCCGCCGCAGTTGCTGCTGCTACTTCAGTAGGAGGTGGAATGCCACCACCTTCATCGACGCCCAACTCTCATCCTGTACCACACGTTGAAGATGCTATAGCTCCTCATGACAACGGTATCGCTACCACACCAATGGGTTCCACAACTCATGTAACATCTGCAACTTTAGGTGGTGTAACATCGGTGGTTACTACCGGACCGGATGGCACTCCGATGGATGAGGGCTCTCAACAGTCAACCCTATCCAATACTTCTGCGGGTAAATAAATAAATTTACAAACAAAATCAAAGACTACAGGAATCAGAAAAATTTATTTGCATGGTTTATTTATACAAAAAAAAAAAATTTAATGAAATGAAATTAACGGAGTGAAAATTTATATTTTAGCTTCTGGCGAAGATCCTGGTTGCACAATGGGGAAATCTAGGAAAGATTTTCACAGTCATCCGACTACACCACAAAGCACGGCGCCATCCCCCGGTGCAGCAAGCGTTAATTCTATGCACGAAGATTACGACATTAATTCAAGCCCTACTAGTTGGCCGAGAACTCCCAACAGCCCTGTAAGTAGTTTTTGACCGTACGGAAATGAAAAGTGATATCACGCAATGAGACGGACGGACGCAAATTCGGAAAAGTTTGACGTGTTTCACAAATTTCCGCATTTGCATCCGTGTCACTTTATTAATTTTAGATATTTAGTGCAAAGTTTTCCCGAGTAGAAAAAAAAAAAAAAAAATACTGAATGCAATGTAAAACGCGAACCTTAAATTAAATATTAACTAAATTTGACATATACGTAGACATATACGTCATAAAATATGTTTCGTGTTATTATTAATTTAATTTTATGAATATTACGAGTGTTTATTAACTATTATTAAATATTGATAATTAACGACGTCGACGAGGAAAAAAAAAAAAAGTAGCTAACTACACTACCCAGCTAAATTGTAGATTTTGTAGTTTACATACGAATATAGTTCACGACAAACACAATAATAATAATAATAATTGCAAATGCTAAAGCATTATTTAAAAAAAAAAAATGTTTGCATGACTCTCGTCGAATTTGTCACACGTTCACATTACGTAAGCGTAGACTTTTTTATGTTTATGTTTCTCACTTATTTGTTTTATGTTTTATGTTAGGTTTCCATTTCAAACTCTGACGTTATGTTATGTTTGAAAACGTTAAAAGATTTCGATTGCATTCAGATGAAAGCTTTGCATTTTTATACGAAAAAAAAAAAAAAAAAAAAGTTTTTCTTTTCCATTTTCCATTATCACGTTTGTTTCCTCATCCTCTCGAAACCCTTTCTTGTTTTTACCTTTAACTTTGTAATCTCTTTTTATATCCGTTTCCGTTTTCTTTTTGTTTTCTTAACAATAATAACTCTCCTGAATATTTTAATCACTGTTGATGATGATAATAATAATAAGTTTATTGTTTTTTTTGTAATCTAGTGAAAATATTATTATTTGGTTGCAGGTTTTTAACAGCCACTTGCCCCAAGATTCATATCGAACCGCAAAGGTTATTACTATTTTATATATATACATTGATACTCATACTCATACTCATACATGTTGAATTAATTTAATTGTTTAATATTTTAGTCTCTCTCTCTTTCTATCTCTCTTTCTCTCTTTTAACTATCATTTTGCTTTCTTTTTCTTTTGTTTCTTTTGACTATTGCTTTTGTTTTGTTTTGTTTCCTGTTGCTAATTAATATAATAACTAAGTTACCGGGTAGTACGATAAATAACGCTTATTATTAAAATAACGTTTGATGGATTCATTTCATTTTTCATCTTTTATTTTTTTTATTTTTTTATTTTTTTTTTTTGGGGGGGGGAGGTGGGGGGGTTTAAAATTATGCTATGTAAAACTAAATTCTTTTTTTTTTTTTTTTTTCTCCTCCATCTTTGTCTTGCTTGCTTTTTTTTTTATTCTGGACAAAAGGCTAAAGATACAAAAAATTCGTGTAAATTTTTTATTTGAATAATTTAAAGACGAATCAATCGATCAATCAGTCAGTCAGTCAATCCGTCTGTCTGTCTGTCTGTCGGTTTTTTTTTATTTATTTTCGGCAGTATTATTATTATTATTATTATTAGTTTATCTGACAGGAAAATGACTAACAACAACAACAGCAAAAAAAAAAGTAACGTGCGCACATTTTATAATTTATATATTTGATATATTTATTAGGATTTTGGGGGTTTGAATATAATTTATATAATAAATAGGCAAAAGAAAAAAAAAATGGCGGTTTTTTTTTTTTTAATGAAAATGTCGTCATTTAATAATAATAATAATAATAAATTTATGCTGTAGTTTTTTTTTTTTTTTTGAATCGATCAATTGCTTTTGTGAGAAGAAAAGAAAGGTTTCACTAATTTTTAATTTATTTATTTTATAATCGTTATTAAGGGGAGGGGAAAAAAAGGTTTTTCCGGGTATATTTCGTCTGTTTGTTTGTCAATAACGTTTTTTTTTTGGGGGGGGAGGGGGGCGTTGCACGGCATATTTAACCGTTGCTTATTTTTTTTTTTTTTTTTTTTCCACATAAACATAATTCATTGCTTGCGCATTTTTTAATTTTTTTGTTTTCTAACCATTTTTTTATTTATTATTTAATTTATTTTTAAATTTTTTTGTTTGATGATGAAAAGACTAAATTTATTTTTTTTTTCTCTCTCTCTCTCTAAAAAAAAAAAAAAAAAAATCTACAGAAACCAGACAGTTTAGGAAAATTATACGAAATGGACGATTCGCCGGAGAGAAGGCATTGGCTCGATAGACTTTTGTCATTCATGGAAGAAAGGGGTTCGCCCATAACCGCGTGTCCGACAATATCGAAAAACCCTCTGGATCTCTTCAGATTGTACCTGTACGTCAAGGATAGAGGGGGATTCATGGAGGTATGCAAGGTGCCGTGTAGTTCCATTTTAGTTTTTTTTCATTCTTTCTATCTCTTTCTATCTTTTTTTTTTTTTTTTTTTATTATTATTCGTCCTCTCTATAAATATATATATTATTACGGGTTTTTTTTTACTACGATAACCGAAAGTACGAGAGATTTCAAGCGAAAAATTATTGAAAAAAAAACCATAGAGTAAAAAAACAACGAAAATCGTTCGTTAATTCTTTTTTTTTTTTTTTTTTTTTTTTAAACAAAAACAAAAGAATAACCGATGGAGGAAAACAAATTGTAAACAATTATATTGCGAGTCGGTCTGTCGAAATTTTCGTTAAAATTTTAAATTATTACAAATAAATATTTTTGTAAAAGGTTTTTTTTTTTTTTTTTTGTTTTTTTTTTCGATTGATCGAACGATCGATCGATCTATCGATAGATAGGTTGTAGTTATAATTTTTAAGAAATTTGTAGGGAGGGACGACAAAGGTAACCAACTAACTACAAGTGTATATATGACCGTATGAGTGACCGTAGATAATTACTTTGGTATAGGTTAGGAGTTATTATTATTATTATTATTATTATTATTATTATTAATATTATTATAATTATTGATTTTCGTACCTTATCACTCGTTGATGCCTTGTGCGTGAGTGCGTGAGTGCGCGCCTTTTGTCTTATCACTCATTATTTTGTATTATTTTTTTTGTATGTATCCCTTAATAAAATGTCATCTCGTACGTTCGGAAAACTTGGTAAAAAAAAAAAAAGTTAATTTAACAATTTTATTTATTAATCGCTTCCTAATACTTAACCGATAACAAACAAATTATTATTATTATTATCATAAGAATAATAATAATAACAAAAAACATAACACAAGGAACTACGATTAATTAATTTTTTTTTGTCTCTCTCTCTCTCTTTTTCTTTTATTAATCGAGAATGACTATAAAAAAGGCATAACAATGCTTTAACAAATTTGCTACTTTTTTGATATTAACAAAATTAAAATAATAATAATAATAATATTAATAAAGGTGAGAATGTAATAAAATGATGATGAGGAATATTAATACTAATAATAATAATAATAATGATAATGACGTCGACGATGACGACGATGACTACTACTACTATGCTTTGCGAATGATCGTAGCCGCCTATATAACATTAACATTAATAATAATAATAATAACAATAACGACATTTTAATAAAAAAAAAAATTGTTAGGAGCTTGCTTATTTCTTTACGTCAATGGAAAATTTGGGGCTTTTTACGCTTTTTTTTTTTTTTTTTTTTTTTTTTTTTGCTTTTCGATTTAATTTTAAGGTATAAATTTAATTCTATGATTATTATTATATTTAAAAAGAAAATTTCTCGTTCTTGTCGGTTATTTTAAATTTTTTTTAAAAAGTAACGGAAATTTGAATGAGATTTTTTTTTTTTTTTTTTTTGAAAGTTGGTAGCAATTTATTCGAGTATCGGAAACTTGGAAGGAAAAAAAACCCGTGTCAGTGCTAAAACGTTTTAATATAATAATAATAATAATTTTTCAAATGGTATTATTATACTTAAAAGTTATAAAATTGAAAATTTCAAAAACGTTTAAATCTTTATTATTATTATTATTATAAAGTATACGGTTTGCGACCGGGTTAAAAAAAAATAGAGAGGTTTCGAACATGATTCGATGACTACTTTTTTAAAAATTATATGAATTTTCCATTTCGGAAAAAAAATTCCGTCCGGAAACGGAACGGGATCACTCACTAATCGAATTTTGTATACAGGTGACGAAAAACAAAACTTGGAAAGACATAGCTGGGCTTTTGGGAATCGGAGCTTCATCCAGCGCTGCTTACACTCTACGAAAACACTATACAAAGAATCTTTTAGCTTACGAATGTCACTTTGATCGAGGAGGCATCGATCCCCAACCGATAATCAATCAAGTCGAAGCTCAGTCTAAAAAGAAAGGAAACAAATCCGCGTCAGTTCCTTCACCTGGTAAGTAACCACCACCACCACTTCCTCTCACTCAAATGAAAAGGATGGGAAAATAATTTTTTTTTTTTTTTTTTCCCTCCCGTTTTTAGGATCTTCAAATTCACAAGATTCGTTTCCTCCCGTGGGTTCCAGCGGTGGAAGTATGGACGGTTATTCAGCATACGGTTATCCTCCTGGATCAAATCCTGAATTCAGTGGTCCGAACCAGCGTTCCGCCCAATCAAGTGCTCCTTCCCCACATCCTGGTTTGTATTTAATTCTTGTACTGTATGAGGTTTTTGCCCCCCTCCCCCTCGCGACGGATTTAAGGAAGAGTTTCTCTTGAAGGCCTTTGATGACAAACCCACTGCGCAAATTTGAAGAATCTGCGCAAACTTTTTTTCTATTAATATAATTATTATTAATGATGCGGATTCAATGTGAACACTTTGTCTGAGGTTTTATTATGCAAAAAAAATTGTATCCGTTTTAATTTAGCAATTATTTCCGGTTAAAATTATTTATTTTTTATGTACGGGAATAATGTTTATTTAAAAAAAATTTTTTCAGGAATACAACAAGGCGGATACCCGGGACAAGGTGGATATCCCGGTCAGTACGGAGAACAATATTCGAGAGGACAAGAATACACTCAACAATATCCTCAACAAGGATATCCTCCATCACGTACTGGACCCGTTTATCCTTCGTATCCACCTCCAGGACCCGAAGGAGACAATAGAAATTATCCCCAAGGTATTTATTTTGTAAATGTGAACGCGGCGAAAATCGCAGCCGCGAATCGAAGGTATATATATATATATATACTAACCGGGAAAACGGTATGATTCGTTTCAGGAGCACCGCAAACTCCATCAGGTCCCGGAGGACCAGCTCCGCCTCCTCCCGGAGGTGCGAATCAAGATCCGTACGCTAGAAATTATCAATCGAATTACCCGCCCGGAAGGCCTGGATATTCAACTCCGCCTGGTCCGCCAGGACAACCTACGACGGCACCGGGACCAGGGAATTATCCACCGCCATCTCAACAGCAGGAGTATTATCGTCAAGAACAGGTAAAAAAAAAAAAAACAAAATGGTTTCCTTTTCTTTTTCTTTTCGTATCACTTACGAGACATTTTTTTCTTGTGTGATCGTAGTAGTCGCCTATTATATGTTTTTTTTTTTTTTATATATACTTAAAATTGTAGCAGTAATAATAATAATAATAATAATAATAATAAATATGTGTTCTTGCTTTAATTTTATAGTACTTTATTTTTTTAGCAACAGAAAAAAAAAAATTAAACCGTTAACGTTTTTCTTTGTTTTACTTATTTATCGTACTCTACCTCTAAAACATTTAATTATTATTATTATTATTATTATTATTATTTCACTTAATGTTAATAATTTTCTTGATCATCTTCGTAGTTATTTTTAAATGTAAAATTTTTGCAATGCTAGGGTAAATTAATAAGAAGAACGCAAGAAGCAACCTGAGGAAATTCTTTTATTATTATTATTATTATTATTATTATTTTGGGGTACCTGTTTTCTTAGTTATTCTAGAAACTTTTTTTATTATAACAGAAAATGAGTATTATTATTTGCTTGTGTAAATTTTACAAAATTAATTTTGTTTTTGTATTTAATTAATTTTTTTTTTTTTTTTTTTTTTTTTTTTTTTTTTTTTTTTTTTTTAGTATTATTATTTGTTGCATTTGTTGCGCTAGTTTCTAGGTAGAGAATGATTTTGTAGTTTAAATAGAAATTTTAGAAAAAAAAAAAAATAATAATAATAATAATAATAATCTAGTGTATCGTGTCGACTTTGTATTTTTTTTTTTTTTTTTTTTTTTTTTTCTTATTGTGATGGGGAAAAGGTGAGGGGTGGGGGGACGATTGGTAGGGAGATGTAATTAGAAAATAAAAATATTAATATAAATATATATGAAAAATAATAATGATTGATTGATTGATTGAAAAAAATTCGATGATCGGTGCGTTGTATTTTGTAGATGGGTCAGCAATGTAATTATCCGGTTTCCCAGGGAAGTACTTTCCAAACCAATCAGGTTTCTAGTTACCCCAATTCGCAGCTGGCTCGACAGCTTGTAGCGCCGCAGAATGCTAAATCGCCATATCAAGTACGTTATTCAACTACTCTTGTGTTTGGCTTTTCCTATTTTGTTTTTTTTTTTATTAATTAATTAATTTTATTTATTTATTTATTTATTTTTTATGTTTTGTACATATTAATTTCAGGATTGGTTTTTATTATCATTATTATTTTTTATTTTTTTTTTATTTTATTTTTACCTTTTAATTTATTTATTTTGCATGTTTTTTTTTTTTTTTTTTGTTTTTTAATTATTTTTATATTTGTAATTATCATTATTATTATTATTATTATTATTATTATTATTATTATTATTATTTTATGTGTAGGTATATGCACTCGATGAAGGGTCAAAAAATTTTGTTTTTTTTTTTTTTTTTTTTAAATTATTAATTAATAGCTTTGGGGTTGGGGGGGGGTTCGAAGGTTTTTTTTTTTTTTTTTGTTAAATTGATATTGAATAATATTTGTTGTAAAAAGTAAAGAAATTAATTTACTACTAATATTTTAATCGGAGGATGTACCTGAAAAATTTATTTCACAAAAAAAAGCTCTTACTTATTAATAGGTTGTTGATTGGTTAGTAATTATTATTATTATTATTATTATTATACAATCGAGACAATATTACTTTAATATTTATGATTAGTTAGCATATTGTAAGCTCTACCACGTGTTACTGTTATTAAATGTGTCATAAAAATAGCTTTTATCAATTTGGTATTATAATGTAAGAGAGTCACGTGAACTCTACCACAGGTACATCATCCTTGGAGTTTGGGTTATTTAAAAAAAAAAAAAAAAAATTATGTTTATTAATAATTATTTTGTAACACGAATGCAAATTTTTTTTTTTTTTTTTTTTTCGAAGAACTATGGACCAAGCAGCTCAGCATCATCAGGAGGATCAACTCCCTCGGCTCCTGTTTCTGCTGGCCCTAATAATAAAACGATGCCGCCTCCTGCTCCGCAACCTAGAAGGCACCCGGATTTTGTTAAAGATCAACCGCCATATCAGCCGTACCCGCAACAACGACCCGGATATGGAAATTGGCCCAATAGCCAATATCGAAATCAGTATCAGCAACAGTGGAGTGGACCTGGTCCAAGGCCTCAATGGGAACCTAGGTACTCGCCACCATCTCAGGGGCCCGGAGCTCCGGCTCCTTATCCTCCTCCGCAACCCGTACAGCAGTGGGGAAATAGTATGCCAGTTCCTGGAGTGGGCCAAAGTTCACCGTTGCGGCCGGCTGGACCTCGGGTTCAATATCGCCCCGATGGAAAACCTTATCCAGGACCTCAACCAGTCGTGACAAAAGTAAATAATCGGAAGATGGAAAAATATTTCTGATTCCCCCGCGTATGTATACATATTTTAATAATAATACAATAATTGTTTGTTTCATTACAGCCTCCAGGTGCTCAGCCTTTAGGGCCTCCCAAACGTGAAATTGTGTTTCCACCGGATAGCGTGGAAGCTGTTTTGCCTGTGTTATACAAAAGACGTCGCCTCACTAAAAATGATGTGACTCCCCTCGAAGCTTGGCGAATTATGATGGCTCTTAGATCTGGACAACTTTGTGAGACAACATGGGCTCTTGACGTTTTAAACATACTTTTATTCGACGATACGACGATTGCGTATTTTGGTCTGGGAAATTTACCCGGTTTATTAGATATACTTTTAGAGCATTGGCGAAAATCTTTGGAGGATGTATTCGAGCCAAATTCAGACCAAGAAAACGAAATAAAAGGGGAAGTCGATCTCGGGGAACCCACGGAACCAGTTCCCAATGAATCAAAGAAAATACTGAAATCGGTTCCGAATTACTCAATGATCACGGTCAAGGGAAAACCGGTGGTCTCAGTTCCACGTTCAGATTTATTCATACGAGATGACCGTAAAGCGTGGGACACGGACGGTGAAGCCGCTTCTGAAGACGAAACCTTGGAATCAGCTCCTGCCAAATACATTATTTCACCTTTCCGAGGAGAAGTTCTTACTTTGCCGTTTGCCCGTCGGTTAAAAACTGTTAAAAAAGTTAAGACTGAACCTGAAACCGTTGTTAATAATAATAATAATAATAATATGAAAGTTGAAGTGGACACGAAAACGGAACACAGACTTAATCAATTAAAGTGTAGTAAAGAGAAAGAAGAAGAAGGAGGAGGAGGAGGAGGAGAAGGAAAAGAAGACAATAGCAAAAGAATTTTAGTTGATGTTAAACAAAATAGTGATGAACAAGTTTTAGATTTAAAAGACAAAATAATAATAAAAGAAGGGAAAAAAAGTGATGATGATAAAAATGATGATGACTCGGTTAAAAGAACAGAAAAAAGTGAAATAAAATTAGAAAAAACGGATGCACCCAAGTTGAAAATACGGGATCCGCAAGGGATTCTAAAAAGACGAAGGATGTCAGACTGCGAGGATGAATGCTACTCCCGTGACGAAAGCAGCCTTCTATTGGCCGGGGAGGCGCAAGACGCTTTAGCTCGCAGATGCATCTGCCTTTCGACAATTATTAGGAACTTGAGCTTCGTGCCCGGAAATGAACCCGAGATGGCTCGCTCTGGCGTTTTGCTTTCCGTATTAGGCCGATTACTTCTTTTGCATCATGAGCATCCGCCTCGGCAAACCCAGCAGAGAAATTACGACCGGGAAGAAGATGCAGATTTTGCTGATTCTTGTTCCAGCTTACAGGTAACATAAAAATAATTTTCTTTTTTTTTTTTTTTTTTATCAATAATAAATGTGGATTTAGGGCTGACAACTTTATAAAAAAAAAAAAAAAAAAAAACGTTTTTTTATCATCAGGGTGAAAATGAATGGTGGTGGGAATATTTACACCACATTAGGGAAAATGTTTTAGTCACGTGTGCAAACATATGTGGGCACATGGATCTTGCCAGTCATTCAGAAGAGATCTCAAGGCCAATTGTTGACGGTCTGCTTCATTGGGCTGTTTGTCCGGCGGCAGCGGGTCAGGATCCGTTTCCAACGGTCGGACCGTCATCATTGCTGTCACCCCAGAGGCTGGCACTCGAAGGTCTTTGCAAATTATGCGTTACTGATACCAACGTGGATCTCTTAGTGGCTACTCCGCCTTTTTCGCGGTTGGAGCGACTCTGCGCTGTGCTTTCAAGGCTGTTGTGTAGAGGAGAGGATCAGGTAAAATTTGTGACAGCAACCCCTTTGCGTGCCCCCCCCCCCTTATCGATAATAATAATTTTTTTTTTCTTTTTTAATTTTAGGTTTTACGGGAATTTGCTGTGAATTTACTTCACTATTTATCAGCTTCGGACAGTAGCGTGGCTCGAACGGTGGCTCTTCAAACTCCCTGCGTCTCTCTGCTATTGTCCTTTATTGAGCAGGCCGAGCAGAGTGCCTTGGGCGTCGCTAATCAGCACGGGATCAACGCTCTTCGCGACAATCCTGATTCGATGGGTACGAGTTTGGACATGCTGAGGAGAGCCGCAGCAACGCTTTTCCACTTATCCAGGCATCCGGATAATCGGCCGCTATTCGTTCAACAAGAAGCTCGACTTCTTCAACTCGTCATGTCTCAAATTCTCGACCAACAAGTTGCTTCGGTCATCTCTCGCGTTCTCTTTCAATGCTCCCGCACTTCCTAGTCTTGAAATCACCTTATTGTGTGTGTTTAGACCAAAGCACGTGATTGGGCACCGAAGTTATTAAAAAAAAAAAAAAAAAGAAGAAAAAAAAATGTTAGTTCTGTATTATTATTATTATTATGATTATTACGATTATTATTATTATTATTATTATTATTATTAGTATTAGTATGTTTTTACATTATTACACCCCAGCGCTCCGGTTTTTTTCTTTTCTTTTTTTACATTAAATTATTTATGCTGCTTTAACCGATAATGGTTGCCGCCATAATTTTGATGTTATATGTATCTCTTGCCTTGTAATATGAGTTCGTTTGTCGGTTTTTTTTTTGTTTTCATCATGGAGATCTGATGTTATAAATTTCAATAGGAAATATCATGTAGTAGTCTCCTTTTAGAAAAAAAAAAAAAAGAAAGAAAGAAAAAAGTCAGTTTATTTGAAAGAAATCATTATTATTTCATTATTTTTAACGACTCGTAATAATAGTGTATAGCAGCCATTATTAATTTTCTTCCCCCTCCCCTCCTCCTCCCCAAGTGTTTTCTTTTCCGGTTTATTACTCATTTTTTATTATCGTCACAACGTTTTAAACGATTTTATTATTATTATTATTATTATTATTATAATTTGCTGGGATTCTAAATAGAAATTTTTTTTTTTGTACTTTAATTGATATTATTATAATTATTATTATTATTATTAAATATTATTAATTATTAATTATGATGATTATCATTATTATTATTAATTAAACTGTGAGAATATGGGGTTTTTTTTTCTTTCTTTTTTTTTTTTAATTATTATTAATTATTATTATTATTTTACATAAGTCGATTAATAATTATTATTATTATTATGATTACATTGAATAAATTATTTATACTACTTATTTTATTTGTATATTTAAAATGATTTGTAATAGACTTAAACATTATTATTATTCTTGCTTAAGAGGTGTGTGTGGCCATTATTCAAAACTCCAACTCCCCAATATTCTCTCTCTCTCTCTCTCTCTCTTTCACTCTCTCACTCACTCTCTATCTGTTTTTCCAGGTTTCCCCCCTTTTCCAAAGTTTTCCACCGCCGATCCGCCGTTTGCCCTCAACGTATACATCTCAGATCTCCTACGGTTTTCACAGTCGAGTCGTAACGCCCCCGCCCCTCGCCTTCGTCTCCGCCCCCCGCGTTAATAATCATTATTATCGTGATAATATTTTTTTTGTTATTTGCTTCACGTAAATGTCGAGTACTTATTAAAAAAAGGAAAAAAAAAGGAGGAAAACGCTTCGGGTGCTCTATGTGCTAATTAAAAAAAAATATTAATAATAATAATGATAATGATAATAATAATAATGTAAAATCTGAAATTGATAGTTATTTAATTATTATTAATAAACTATAAAATATATATATATTTAAATAATAATAATAATAATAGTAAGAAGAAGGAGAAAACGTGAAGTATATATGTATAAAGTACATATACATACATATATTTATAAACTTTTATTAGAAAAAGGAAAAAAGGAAAAAAAAAAAAAACAATCAAAACAAGAGAAAAAAATTATTATTATTAGTTATGTAGGTAAAAAGGAAAAAAAGGAAAAAAAGATTAATACAAAAAAAATAAAATAAAGAAAAATGTGAATATAAATGAATGTGACTGTGAATGAAAAAGGAAAAAGGAAAATCAAAGGAAAAACAATTTTAGTTTTTTTTTTTTTTTTTTTTTTTTTGAATGATAAGAGAAAATTGATAAGGAGAAAAAGTTTGTTTGTTTGTTTGTTTGTTTGTTTTCTTTTTTTTTTTTTTCCCCCCCCCCGTAGTGTTAAAAAAGTCTATTTATAAAAAATAGTTATTGATGATAATTATAAATAAATAAATAAATAAATGAAAAGACAATTTTGTTTTCAAGGGAAAGATATTTAAATAATAATAATAAATATGTATTATTGATTGATTGATTGATTGATTGATTGTGAAATTAACGATATTATAATCGATTATGACAATTAATTGATTGATTGATTGATTTATTGTAAAATATAAAAATTTCATTTTAACAAATAAATTAAATTAAATTAAATTTTTTTTTTTTTTTGATGATGATGATGATGATGATGATGAAAAAAAGGACAAAAGAAAACGGGATAAAGTTTATATTAAAAAAAAAAAAAAAAAAGAAAATATATATATATATACATAAATGATTGATTGATTGATTGAATGATTGATTTAATTAATTTTTTTTTTACTCTGTTGTTGTTTAATTTTTTTTTTTTTGGTGAGGAATTAAAAAGGTAGGAAAAAGGAAAGAAAGAAGACATTTTGAATTTTTCTGTATTTTTCACATTAAATAATAATAATAATTAATTAATTATCGAAGGAATTTGTATTTGATTAATTGAACAAGATAATAATAATAATTTAAAGAGAAAAAAAATTAAATTAATTGTATTTTTAAGAAAATAATAATAATAATAAATGAACCCCCCCAAAAAAAATGGTATGAAAGAAAAAAAGAAATTAATGATGAAATGTTTTTTTTTTTTTTTTTTTTTTTGTGATCAATAAATAAATAAGTAATAATAATAATATAATAATGTACATTTTATTAATACATAAATTAATTAAATAATTGCCTATTCCTCGTAATTAATTAATTGTTTTAAAAGGAATTAAAACAAAACTGTGTTTAATAATAATAATGATTTTAAATTTTGTAACGAATTTTTGATTTTTTTTTAAAATTTTATTTATTATTATTATTATTTGCTTTAAATTTAAATCGATCGATGATATTATAATTAAAGAAAGAAATAATTTTTTTGTATTATTATTATTAATAATTGTAAAGAACAATACCTTTAAAAAAAAAGAAAAAAACCGTTACAAATAATATTACAAATGGAACGATGGAAGAATACGTTTGTGACGTCATTTTGCACGTCAATTTTGCAAAACCGGAAATGGAAAATGTAAACAATTTTTTAATTTATTTTTCTTATTGTGAATTTACTTTACACGAGATGAGGAGGGAGAGGGGGGGGGGGAAACGAGGAAAATTATTAATAATAATAAAAACAATTGAAATTTTCGTTTTTTTTGTATTTATTTAATTGAAAAGTTTTTAATTTGATCGTTTTTTCCCTCACTCTCCCTCCGCTAGGATTATATTTGTATTGTGAAGGATTATTATTATTACTACTACTAGTGATTATTATTATTATTATAAATATTTTCTTTTTTTTTTTTTTTTTTTGTTCGAATCCGTTACGAAAATTTATTGTAATAAATATTTAAGAAAACAAATGAAAAAAAGTGTAAATAATTATTATTATTATTAAAAAAGGAAAAAGTGAAAGATCAAAAAAAAAACAATTTAAATTAAATTAAACATTTGTAACGTTTTTATCTCTAAAAAAAAGAATAAGAGAGAGAGAGATAGAGATAGAAAAACGATTACGGGCACGAGTGTAAAAGAAAAAAAAATTGTAGTGATTATGATAATAATAATAATAATAATAATAATAATGATAATTTTTTTTTATATGTAAATTCGAACGTCGTCGTCGTCGTCATTTAAACGAAAAGAATTTATTATTATTATTATTATTATTAAATTTATACGGTGATGAACGTTTTATTATAAAATGATTATAATTAATATATAAATAGTGATGAACATATAATTTTTTTTATAATATTGCGATAATTTTATAATTCGTGAGCAAATTTTTTTTTTTTTTTTTTTTTTTTTCGTTTTGTCAGTTATTCCAGTATTTAGTTATATTTGCTTGTGTACAGTATATACAAGTGTGAATACAGTTTTAGGAACAAAAAAAAAAAAAAAATTATAATTTAATGTATTGTATGTTTTTATTTTTTAAATCTTTTCTTTTGTTTTTGTTCTTTTTTAATAAATAAATATATATATATATATAAAATAAATATAAATACGAGGAAAAGAACAAGAAATAAAAAAAGAAAGAGAAAGAGAGGTGGGGAAAAAAATTATTAATTAATTAATTAGTTATTTGAAATAAAACGATTTATTAAAAATAAAAAAAGTGATGGACATGATTTGAAATGTATATTAATTTCTTATTTTTTAATAAAAAGAGAATAAAATGAAATGAAATGAAAAAAACAAAAAAGGATAATTAATGAAAGGGAAAAAGAAAGATGGCGGCCATGATGTTTCGTTACAATTTTATATAAATTGTGTAATTACAACAAAAGTATGATATTTTATCAATAATAATTTTAATATTATTTATTTTTAATTATACATACAAATATATATATTTTTTTTTTCTGTTTCCTGATTGAATTGACTATTAAATTGTTATTATTAGGAAATATTTTTTTCATTATTATTATTATTATTCAGTAATCGACGATTTATTCGTTTATAGATAAAATGGGGGGAAAATTTGAAGTCCGGCGTAAATGGGAGAAAATGTTTATATACTCTATGAAATCGAATGATTTGTCTCATTTGAATAAAACCGTTGGAAGTGTAAGAAAGTGTTTATCGTAGACAAAACCGTTTGATCGTTGTTTGAAGTTTTATATATTTTTTTAAACAATTTTAAAATGGATACTGAAAGAATTTTTAATAATTTTAAATGGATTAAGTATTAATAATTATTATTTTACTTCAAGTGATTAAATTTTCGTTTATTCATTACTACAAAATTCAAAATGGTAAATACGTGAAGAAATGCGTGGGGTTATCAGATAATAATTTTTTTAAATGACATTTTTTTCTTTTTTAGATTAGCTAATTAATCGTTTTTTTATCAAAAGCGTGCCACTGGATGTTTCATATTACATTATAAGTTTTGACTTATTAACAAGAAGGGAAAAAAACGTTATTTTAAATTCCAAAAACTTATACAACCGAACAAACATGGATTGTTTTATAATTATGTAACGGTCGTTATTATTATTTCATAGAAGTTTTAATCAGAATGAATTAATGAAATAATTCGTATGTATATCTTATAATTTAATTCGTTCTTATTTAATAACCGTTAAAAGTTATGTATACTTTTCCCAGATATTAAAGGTTTTTGCTTTCAAGGCTGAAATTGGTCATGAGTAACCATGGAGTTATAATTTCTTTTATTATATGACACCCGCTCATTAATATAAAGAAAATGATAAAGATCATGTTGGAAGTAATAATAAATCATCGAAAAGGTAACATTTAAAACAATTAATAAATTTAATTGAAAAATTTTATTTTATTACATCAGTCTTATAAAACTACAAAACGTATAAGGAACCATTCAAACAATATTCAAATACTGGAACATTGACAAACAAAAATACAAATTAGAAAAAAAAAACAAAAAAAAACCTAATATAGTCTTACAGTACAAAAATTCATTTAAAAAAAAAAAATGCAGACTAAAATTTTCTACGCATCATCAACGTAATTATTTATTAAGCGTGAAATTATATCCACGTCGATCACGCTTCCTTCAAGAATAAATTTATTGTTCCATTTTTTCTGCGTCTCCGCCAGCTTTTTGATTTGTTTGTTTGCCGCTCTTGATGGCCGGTTGTTGAGTGTGTACGATGGGTACGACTCTTTCGTTTGCCGGAGCAGGTGCGATCTTTTTGGGTGCTGCCACGGTTAAAACTCCATCAGAGGACAAATTGGACACGACGGTTGAAGGATCCACGTTGTCCGGAAGTACGTAACGTCTAGTGAACTGACGTGATATGTAACCGTGTTCGTCAGCACGTTCTTCGTGTTTACCCTCGACGATGACGGAATTGTCGACGACTTTAACGTTCAAACATTCCGGTGGGAATTGTTGTACGTCCAAATTAATTTTAAATTCGTTTTCGTTGCTTGTTATGTTGGAAACTCCGCTGTCGCGTCCGTGTACGTGACGCCATGGTCTAAGGTATCCTCTGGACAAAGGCATACGCATGAGAGCTCTAGGATTGATCAAATCGTCTTGCAAGAGTCCAAGACCGAAATTTTGATCGAAAATACTCGATGGGCGTGTTAAATCGTCCAACACATCGTTGAATAAAATTGGAATGAGAGACATCTGTGAAAGGAAAAAAAAAAACAATGGTTGATTTAAGCCATTTTGTTTTTTTCTTATAAATCATTTTGCAATCCTTAGCATAATGCATTACAATAATGTAAATTTTAACAATTTTTTATTTGTTTTAGAATATTTAACGATTTATAAAACAACTGGGGAATAATTATTTGTTGGAAACAAAAAAAAAAAAGAAACGAAATTCTACAAGACGAAAACCTCACGATGCTTGTAATGGATTGTTTTATCATGTCGTTCACAACCACGCCTTCGACTCGCAACAAAATTGAAAAATTATTGAAAAAAAAAAAAAAAAGAATTACACCATGTTGAAATAATAAATTGAGAGGTAAAAGAATTATATATATATATATTCACAATTTACAATAAACACAATAAAAACATGAGGCAAAAAAGCCGACATAAAAAAAAAAATTACAAGTAAATAAATTAAAAAATATTTCAAAAAATAATAAAATAAAATTACTTACCTTTATTTAATATTAAATTAAAATAAAATTTCAATTGAATAAATATCTGTGCAACAGTTTTTAATACACAATTTTTTTTTATTTAAACAGGCACTTGCGTTTTCACTCCTTCAATGCAAATAACAGTTTAATAATGGCGTCGCGAAAACAGTTGTATAAATATCGTCGAAGAATGTTCTTGAACAATCCAGATGGCTCTCGAGTGTTCTAGAACTTTCTAGAAGTCGAAAACAAATTGCTTTCGTCATCACTTTAACCAATGACGAAGCTTATCGTAAATACACGTAACGTAAGAAGATGGCGACTTAAACGGTTCGTTTTATATAAAATTAATTCTTTTAAAAAATTTTTTTTTGGTTTGAAATGGAAATAATTTACTTTGATGATACTTGCTTTTTTTTTTTGTCGAAAACATACCTTTTTTTTTTTTTTTTTTTACAAATATTTTATGAAATTTTTCATTTTTAATTGTTGCAATTAATTTTATTTTAAATTGATAGATTTTTGAAAACATTTAAAATCATGGCTGATACGTTTGAAGTAATAATAACGATTAATTTTTTCTCATTTTATGTCTAGCTGGCATAAATCAACGACTAACGTCATAATTCAAACAAAATGGCTTCGAATATTTTTTTATTCGACTGAAATTAATTTTGCAATTGCAGTTAATTAATTTGTTTTTTTTTCTATTTATTTAGCGGTAAAATTTATAAAAAAAATATAAAAAAAAATCGTCTGCCTTTTTATATCAATTTGAAATCGAACACTGTTGCCAAAATTATCTTTAAAAAAATCTTATTCGATTTTGTCAAATTATTAGTTTTTAAATTATTTAATATTTTTTTAAATTCTGGCTTAAATAATGGCGCGAAATTTGAATATTTAAGGAGGGAAGGGGAGGAGAGGGGAATTTATCACTAAATTAACTTTTTTTTTTTCAGGAATTGATATATAACTGTACATACGTGCAAAAAAAAAAAAAGAAAAAGAATAAGAAGAGGGTTGAAAATTTAAAAAGGAAGTAATAATAATAATAATAATAACAACAATGTATATCCATTGTATGCAAGTGCAGGCAGATGTTTATTATTATTATTATTCTTTCTTTCTTTCTTTTACAGCCCCCTTTTTTTTTTTTTAAGGTCGTCTCATACTACTAGGGTTGTTTAAAAATTCGAAAAAAATTCCATGAGAAAAAAAAAAGGAAAAAAAAAAAAAAATAATAATAATAAATATTATCATTATCTCCGAACATATTTTTAAAAAAAAATTGTAAAATAATAATGATAATATTAATTTTTTCTTCTTTTTTTCCCCCCGTATATAATTAAAAAAGAATTAAATTATTAATTTTTATATTTTTTCTAACCGAATAATTATAAATAACAATTATTATTATTATTATTAGTTTTTTCGTAATAAAATTTTAATTTAATTAATTACGACGTGTAAGAAAAAAAAAAAATATAATTAAAGACTCCATTTTTTTTTTTTTTTATTTCAATTCTAATAAATAATTTATTTACTGACGGAAAATTTTCTTCGTTAGTAGTCAGCAGTAGACGAAAAACACACACACACACACTCAATATTCAATTTTTTTTAAACACAAATAATAATAATATATAATATTCGGTTGTATAAAGTTTTAAAAAAAATGAAATCAAATTTTAACGAATTTTTTTTTTCAAAATATTTTAATTATTTAGCATACGTAGGAGGTTGGACGTACAAAACAAACAATATAAATACGAATCGCATAATTATATTTTATCAAATATTATGTTTGGTATCGATGTTCGCATCGATAGCACTTCAATTGGCAGATTTATGGAGAGTCTCTGGAAATCTGGATAAAGTAACGTACAACATGTGCACGTCCGTCATCGTTATTGATACGACGAGTAAAGTCGTCGTACTTTTGAACAAAACGAAAATAATTAACAAATTGAGATTGAATTTATGGAATGATTTTTATAAATACCAGGATGAAGATATTGAAAAACTTAAAAATTCAATAACGTCCGAATTGAAAAGGGTATCGAAAATGTTTCACGTAGCGGGACTCGTTTTCTATCCCGTTTGGATATCCGTTGCTTATTTCAGTTATTTATGGGGACCGAGAGAACTTCCGTTTCCGGCATTTCTACCGATAAATCACGACGATTCGTTATCATATAATTTATGCTTTTTATTAGAAATCGTTTTGGGTACCATCATACTAACGGCTGCGATAGAAACTAATTTAATCGTTTTTAGTTTGGTTTTACAAATGGTATTACAATATAAAATATTATATAGAAGAATATTGAAAGTATCAGACGTGTACGAAGGTATCCACGTCGATGATGATGATGATGACGACAATGATGACGTCATACCCAACTATGATTATAACGCTCCGAATAAAAAAAAAGAAATTAATTTTATATTGAAACGGAAAAAAACGGAAAATTATTTGAAAAATATAATAAATCGTCAATTGATATTATCGCAGTGAGTATTTTTGTTTTTGTAAATCGACGCCATATTGAAATTAATCAGGCGTAATCACGTTTTCGGGTACATAAAATTTTATTTTTCAGTTACGTTAAATTATTCGAATTTGGTTTTAATCGTTATTTTCTCGTACAAATAACCGGAGGATCGACTCTTGTAATAATGAACGGACTTCACGTTATTAAAGTAAATTATTTATTTATTTATTTATTTATTAATTATTAAATTGAATTATTTGACATTTGTTTGTTTGTTTCAGATGACGTATCAATTAAGCAGTAAAATCGGTCATCAAGCAGCTTATCTTTTTTTTATAATTGTTAATTTTTTTTTTAATTGTTTTTACACGTCTAAACTCGTCGAAGAAGTAAGAGAATAAGTCCCCCCCCCCCATTGTTGGGGAACCAACTACCTTTTTTTTTTTTTTATTGTAAATGATGTTAATGTAAATTATTTATAGTTTAACAGCATCGGTGAAGCTGCTTATGCAACATCTTGGTACAAAATGGATGCGAATTTGCAAAAATATTTTCTCATGATAATAATTCAAGCACAGAAGCAACCCAAAATAACGGCCGGAAGATTTATTTTGATGAATTTAAATACTTTTTTAACCGTACGTTTGTTTGTTTTTCGTTTGTTTTGTTAATAATAATAATAATAATAATAATAATAATAATAATAATAATAATTTAAACGTACGTTGGTTTTCCAGATGCTAAGAAACACGTACAGTTGGCTTATGTTAATAAGACAATTTGAAATCAAGTAAATTCGTTTCTACATGTGTGTGTACACACGCACTTCACGCACTCACGCACTCCTCGCACAATAAGGTAAGTGAAAATTTATTTATATTTACGAGTACAAAAATTTAGAAAAAAAAAAAAAATGATTATGTAACGTCTGATACAAAATGTAAATAAAAAAAAATTTACGTTTGTTTGTTTAAAAAAAAACGTTTTTTAAATTTAAATTTAAATTATTATTATTTTTAAACCGTTTTTAATTATTTTTTTACAAATCACGTGATTTAATTAATTATTTCGGTTAATTTTTAAAAGAGAGGGATTCGACTCCATTTGTATCCATAAAAATTATTCAAACCGTTTTGTATCAGAGCGTGACGTCATTTTAACAAACCGGAAATCATTTTTGTACTCTTTTAAAGGAAGGTTATTAGGCTTGAGAGAAATGAGAAAAAATTCAAATTTATTTTTTTATATTTTTATTCGTTTAAAACGGAATCCATTACAAAAATTCGATTAACATAACTACAAGAATACATTTTCATATATATATAAAAAAAAAAAATTCAAAATTATTAAAATCAGTCTTGAGAATATTTATTTGGTATAATTCATAGAGTAAAAATACGTATTGTAGAATTACATAGAAAAGACAAAAAAAAAAAAAAAAAAAAAGAGGTATAATATAATGTTATGGACCTCGTTTTTCGAGGAATTCGGTGTTGCTGACCTGTAGTATGCTCGCAGCTGATTTGGATATTTAATATAATAAATAGACAAATTCTATCTAATATATTATATTAACCAAAAATACTACTAGTTACACTACTTTATCAGTAAAAACACTAAATATAATATAAGTGAAAACGAAAGCTATGCTACTAAGTCCAACCGTAGATGCTCTGTCTGTCTTTAATAAGACAGCACAACCACGTTGAGCTTGATTGACAGACGAAACTTCTGAGAGTGAGTAATCCCTGTGGTGTCGAGGCCCACTATTTATATGATGACTAAAACAATCAATGCGTCTGTTGCACTTGAAGTGGCTAATAAATCAATCATCTCCTTTCATAAGGGATGAATACGGTCTTTGTACGCTATTCCAGTTTAATG